CGTTGATGAATTCCACATCGTTTGAGTACATGGAGTAGTCATGGTTTGTCATAAAGAATCTTGGAAGCTGCAAAACAAACAGATGAAGATCAGTTTCAAAGTTTAGGTGCTGATGTTAAAGACAAACACTTCAACAAGATATTCTGTTAGTTTAAGTCTAAAAGCAGAGTTTTGGTTTTACAATAAACAGGCTCCAGTTTGTTTTTTGTTATTCATTTGCCCCTTTGTGCTGTGGAGACAATGTGGATACAGTAAAACTATTATAAAATGTCTTAATTCTTCAAACATTAAAAAACAAAACAAAAAAAAAAACACAAATGTGTGTTCAAATGATCTTGGTGGTGTTAAATTGCAAAGCCGATTATTCACCATGTGATCTGAAATTGTAAATTTCAGGTAAACGTGTCCGATCTGATCATGGAAATATGAAGATTGTTTGTTTTCATCATCAAAACATTTGGATACAAATGTAAAATATCAACATTGTAATGTATTTTATGGTAACAGGCTGTCCCAAAAACCTGTCCTTGGAGCAAATTTACTTTTCAATGATTGTGTATAGTCATCATAATTTTTATGGTGGTTTTGTGCAAAAATAAATAAAATATTTGACCTGAAGCTGAGTAAATCCTGTCATGTGGATCATGTATCATCATCACTGCTACATCTGCAGTGGTTTTAAAATAGAATTTCTTGGTTTGTCTCTGTTGAGGTGCAGCAGGATAACAGTGATTAAAAGTAAGACTTTATTATGAACAAATATTAGTTACATTTCTAAATGTGCATTTATGATGCATTTATAAGGAAGATGAAACATTATTTTGTGATGATTTGATGATATTTCTGATCTGCGAACAAAAGTACAAACGAGTATTTTAGTCGTCATTAATTAATTTTACACTATTGTTACACTGCCTTGAGATACAGCTCGCTGTCACTGCTTGTTATTGGACCACACAAGCACACAATTTTGTTCCTATTTAATAAAGCGTGCCCCGCTGTCACATCTAGACCTATGGTGGAGTCTGTTCAATGCACACACAGGTAAACTGCTGAGTGCCATTACTGTCTTGAGACGAGGCTACTAGCCCCTCAGGGAATATGGCACAAATGATGCTGTAAAGTCTTCACGCATGTCCAATCATCCCACAAAGTTGAATCTGTTCATCTGGACGTCGTAGCTTTTTCAGTCACTTGGATGAGTTCGAAACATTTCTCCCACTGAATACAGTTGAACAGAATCTACTGTTTGGGATGCTGTAACGTGTTTAGTTCCTTGCACCAGCTGTCACAACCTGCCACTAGATGGGCCCACGACACAAGTTTCGGGGACTCACAGGACGCCTTAAACACAGGAGACACTTTTCTCTCTCTAAAGATAGAGATGGCCAACACTAGTTACTGAAAACAATAACAGGGCTTCAGTTTACTGTCACTCCCCCTACTTTCCTGGAAAAATGCATCTCTGTAGAGATGTAGACTCGGTTTGCATTCTTCAGGAGAAAATTCACTTGCTGTCAGAAAAAAACAACATATGTAGTGCTCTGTGAACAGAGTAAAGCAGCTATCACTGCAGATATTTTTTGGTTACCAGTTTGGGGGCCGGGGAGCTACTGGTTTACATCGATTAGCCAGAAGGATGCATATTTTTCATCTGTATCCCACTCCCAGAAGATAAGAGAGGTTTGTTTTTCAGGGCATCTGTGCAGAGTGTTACCCTCCCTCCTGTCTGAAGCTGCACTGAACATGCTGCAGCAGTGGGACGTTCATCTTGCTACATATTTAGATGCACAGTCATGCAGGAAGATAAGACACAATCATATCTGTTGGCATGAAGCATTAACTAACCTGGGCTTCATATCAACCACTGAAAATACAGCTTTGTGTCCAGTGCAACACGTAACTTTAACGCTATTGAAAATGCTCGGGGCGTCCTCGACTGTAAATGTAACTGGAGGTTGACAAATGGTGTAACAATAAGGGACACGTTCTGTGTCTGGTGTTGGTGTGATTTTATTATTCTTACAGGATCTGACAGGTTAAAGTGAACTTTAACTGTGGAAAAGGCTAATCTGCTTCTAAGGGTCTGGGGACAAAACAGCACCCCTTGGTGAGCCATTTTATGAAAGGCTCCTCCCGTCTCCAGGGAGACCGGACACCCCCTAGAGATTTAACAGTGGTGTTGGATGTAGGAGGGAGCAGCATCCTGGGCTTATCAGTCAGCAGGAAGCTGGTCCCCTCACTTTGTGCAGCTTCTGAGGATTACACCAGGAAGTGAGTCACATAGTGACCATTTCACTCGTGCTGCTGGGGTTATACAAGTAACCTAAAGTTACTGACAATAATTAATTAATTAATCATTCGTAAGCCATACGCTTTATCACAAAGAGAATGCAAAATAAACACATACAAAACATATTTGGATTCAATATTTAAATTGCAAAAAAAGAGCTATTAGAATAATAAATAAAGTTGGATATAGGGAACCAACCAGTTTTTTGTAGGATCATCTATGTTAAAATTCATGGACATTATATATTCTAAAACTTTAGAAATGATTGTGTGATGAAAAAGAATGTCTCAATTTGTATTTTAAGTAAGTTTCAACTAAGAGATGGAAAATATGATTTGAGG